TTGTCCATGGTATAAAAGCCATGAAACCAAAAGCGTGAAAACAGTGCCAAGGTGTGGTGAGATGACTTTTTATGCGAGCGATGTATATGGCTGAAAATCTATGTGAACATTTTTGCCTGCCAAGTGAGTGTCCCTTCTCTTGGTGTAAAGAATCATTAGGCTGGAGCACTGGTAAACGACGAAGACATGGAGGGAGTATAAGTCTGTTTTGGCAGGGAACAGGAAAAAGAACGGACTGGAGGATGGGAAAATAAAGCTCATACCGCTTCTGGCGGGCGTGTCAACATGCAGTGATCTACTGGGGGGGTTTTGGCAGCTTTTCATGGATGAGTACAAAATGAGAAAATTAGTTCTTGCTCAAACATGTATGTCCCAGAAGACAAGGTTACACGTGTTCTTGTACTCCAAATGGGATTGATCTCTATGTTGGATATTGATTTACCCAAAACAGTGGGGTCTCGAAAGCATCCTTGAAGTCATGAGATCAGGACCAGGCTGGGACTGCAAAGGGCTGGTTGGGCAGGACAGCTATACAAATCAGATAATAATGCTAGATTGGTTTTATCGCTGTAATCCGTACACACCACATTAGAAGGGTTCGGTAGAACATGACCTCTTGAATCGCCGCGCCTTGCCCTGTTGACGTATTTCTAAAATCGCTGGGCTACAGGCCGCTGGCTGAACTTTAAATCAAGATGCGCTTCCCAAGGAAAGATTCAAGGTTTTACAGTCATTGAATACAAACTTAAAAAGTGACAACAACCTCCACGTGCTCGCCATAAGGAGCCTGAAGGAAAGTTGATTCGCCTATACAGGGACGTTTGTCACAGCTAGAGATATCTACGGGTAGGCCCAGCAGAGGGAGACACGGATTATTCATGCATTCTATATACTACGTATTAGCAAGGGTTGAGCCGCACTGGCGGACAGTTATTGAAAAGTGGGGTTGGCGGAGAGAGCAACATTTGAATTACTGGTTATATTTTCACAAAAGACTTAATATCACAAAAAAGAGGGGATACTGATGGCGCTGATAAACATGTTAAACTGTTCTAAGTGACGTTTCTAGTGGTCGGAATGTATTTGGCTTCTTCACAACACTTAGACGTGCTTTTGTCATGAAATTGGGTCAACTTTTCAGTGAACATGTAAATTATGGTTTTTGATCATAGGGACGGGATTCTGCAGGGACGAGCCGGCGCGTATCGCGCCGGATCAAGGGCCATGTATTTAAGCTGATCGGGTATCGGTTGAGTGTGTTTACGTCAGCTGGTGCATGCAGCGGTGGGTTTGTAACTCACGAGACGGGTGCGAGCCTCGTCAACATAAAGTGGCGTCTCTCTTTGCCTCCACGTTTGTGGTGTGGATGAGAGTGATCAACGCGAGAGTGGCGGGGCGGCTGATAAACTGCAGAGGGGCGCGGGGATGCCTGCTGTGCTCGGAGGGAAAGAGTGGTAGCTCGACTGTCAGACCGCACTGGTTTTAAAGAACTTGGCAGAGCCTTTTTCGCTTGACATTAAACCCGGGTTTAGAAATCAGTGGTTGGATGGGTTAAATGGGCCGTGATTGGTCCGGTGAAAATTGTGAAACCCGCCGCGCGGCCCCCAACGCCGAGCGACCCCTCTCCGCCGCATCTATAGACAGAAGCGCCCAGGCGGTAACTACAATCCAATATCCTCTGCAATGATGGGATATATTCATATTGCTGGAGAACTCTCAGTGCGGACGGGTCCTGCTCCGAGTGGAGTTGGAAGTTAATTAGGGAGTAAGCCAGTAACGCGAGTAAGCTCCCTGACGGAGAGACGGAGCTGAGGAAAGACGAACTGGCTTTTGACGGCAGGGATGTCCACATAAACGCACACGGCCGCCCTCAATAACGGTTAGTGTATAATGTATGTACCACCGTCGGTAGATATGTTGGCTCCACACAAAAAAAAGGTTGCCCTGCCCGGACAACAAAAGGGGCACATCAGCAGCGGTAGAAGAGGGGGAGGAGGGGTGCCGCAAGTGGAGTTTTGTATTTTACGACGTGTTGTGAAATACACTGTCCCAGAGCTGTAGGGGGGAGCTCGTTGGAGAAAAACATGCGGATGAAACATGGTTGCCAAGTTCCCCTTTAACACGTGCAACAGAGTGCAACAGAGTCCCGCGAACAAAAAGCCGATAAGCCTACACACTGGTACACTGGTTTAATTTTAATAAACACATTAATGTACTAGCACTGCAATGCGCACTGTACTATCTTAAACAAGAAACACAAGTATTGGATCGGGACTTGGTATCTATACATAAATAAAAAATAATGGAACATCGTTGTTCAAAACGACTAATTCTAGTAACTAATTTAGGGAATCATGTTAGACAAGTCAACTTCCTGAAGTGTTCAGGTAGTGTAATCAATTCAATTCAAGATCATGTGACAGGAAATTATATCACGGAGAAGAATCCCTGTTGAACCGGAATGATGCATTACATTGTTAGTAACTCTTTAAAGTAGGCTATATGTTTGACATTTTTAGGGTATTTTGTGTTTTAGGTTTGGTATGCTATATGGTTTAAATGTCAAAAGATATAACCCAGGAAAATATTATTAATTATAATTGTAAAAATGTATATTTTCCATAATGTTTGAAATACACT